AATGAAAACGCTGGTATAATAGTGCTTGAAAAACAATACACCGAGACCACGGCAGGGATGCTTCAGTGTAATACTAGTGGGTAGATACCTACTTGAATCTCGGCCGTCTCGCATCGGCAGCCGCTGTAATGCTATTCAAAGGCAAAATAACATAGAACTTAAAAAAACAAACTCGCCGCTACAGGATACGGTGAAAAAAGGTTAAGTTCTTTTACTGTTTTCAGTCGATACGCCATTGACATGGATATGTTATTGGGCTGGATACGAGAAATTTCCAGTCGCCATTTTCACGTTGCACTTTCACTTTGAATTAGAGATAAGAGATAACATACCCACGATTAAAAAATGTTTTTCTGTGGAGCTGAGAAAATAATTAGGTTTTTCCTATTTATTTACCTACTTATTGGTCGCTGTCAAACGATAAACGACGGCGAGGACGGTGTAAAGACAATGTATTATTTTCAACAAAAGTCGTTCCGGGGGGTGGCCGAACACAACTATCGTTTGCAGAACACACACACATAACATATTATATAAGTGTTTAACTCGACATAGTAAGTATACCTTTCTTTTTTTACTTTTCCCCCTTTTTTTACAATAATAATAATTGGATCGTTAGCTAGGGCGTCACGCGGTTCGTGTCGTCCTTTAGATTTCACGTCATAATCGGATGTCGCGGACATACATTTTTTTCTAGTTTTTCTACTTTTCATTTATTTATATTATTATATACTTACCTACGTCGATGCGAGCCCAACGACGTCCCGCGAATCCCAGCGAATGCCATCAACGTTATCCTCGAGGCGTCTTACAAAAATGCCTTGTATATATTATGTTATAAGTACAGTAACTTTGGTTTGAATAGATTTAACCGTAAAGTTTAAGCGCGCAAGTTTGGACAAACTTCACCGTATGCTCCGGAAACGTTTTCTTTGGGTAACTGACGTTTGCTTGTATGCTGTATGCAAACACTATAATATAATATTGTTATTAGTCATTACTATTATTATTATTACCACAGTGATTCGCGTTAGAGGCGTCGTTACATCCGTTATAGTAGTATTATAATATATTATAGTACTTACTGCGACAAACAAGTGGATTCAAATTGAACGTCGCAAAGATCTTGGGTAAAAATAGTTGACTGTACATACTGCATCCTAAGTCGAAAGAAGTTTTATGTTTATTTTCTTGCGTTCAACTTTTGGAACCCAAGTCTGCAATAATTTAGAAGTGTAATAAAAGTGTATTTTTCTATATATTATCTGTGGTTCTTGCAATTTATATGAGTTTGTTGATTAATTTAAATTATACGTCAACTTCTATAGTATTAATTAATTCCAATATTTATTTTATTAGCCGACTTCTTGTTATGAGATTATATATTATTGTAAACTTATCTTAGCAGCTTTAATTTTAATATGTGACTTAAATGAGATTAATTTTTAGTTCCATAAAACTATTTTTTGTTAGACAAAATCTAAGTACAGCGTTGCAATGAAATAAAAGATAGGGTGTCGAATATGGAAATGAAAACGGCATTATTCTAGATAAAAATGTGTCAATTATTCGACGGTAAAAAATACATTTGGACCGCTTGGAGAAGGTTTTTAAAGTAGGTAACCCCTGTCATAATTTTATCGCACTTTTCCCATTATTTTGATTTATCCAATAAAAATAAAAAATACAATATATCATTGGGCAAACAATACCGGTTAGAGAATGCACGCTACAGATGATGATTGATGTACCATATTACCATACAGATGTACCTTATACGCACTGATGACTGAACTTGCACACACTTTCTAGATATTTCCAAAACAGTTTTTCATTTAATATAAAATCATTTTTCTAACTGTATGAAACACATTAATATTATAGATAAAATAAAATCAGATAGTGTTCTAAAAAAAAATCGAAAAATGTAAACAATGTTTAATAATCTCAGGTCAGTGTGACCAGGAAATGAAAAAAATAATCTTTCCGTTGTACAGTGTGGTCAAAGAAATGTTACTACAATCCATCATCGTTTATCAAAAATCTGTTATCAATATTTCTTATCAGTTAACGTTATCATTGTAAATAGTGTACTATATTTTCGGCACTATAATTTGGCCCTACCGCATTAAGTTTAAACCAATCAAAAATCGTTATTGAAAAATCTATTGTTTTACTATGAAGTGCACTTCACAATTTAGTTTGATTTCATCTGTGTTAACTTATTTATGTTTGATGAAAATTTTCCACTGATATTTTTTTTCATTGTAATATAACCGTAGTAGTTAAAAAACAAATTTTCATCTTTTGTAAAAATTAAAATTGTATTTAACTTTTGTTTGTAAAATTACACATTATTATTTGTGCAATAAAATATAATAATATTACAAAGTAAAAATGAACCTAACCTCGTTTGTATAAAATTGATTATTATTTTACATGAAATTTGCATTATTGCACTTTTGACATTGCGCAACGCTATTTAATAATTGTTCAATTATTATTATTGTTGTTATTATTATTGGAAACAGGAACCTCTTTTACCAATGTAGTATTTATTAATTGTTAACTTTGTAAAATTCAAAAATCATAATAATTATATCAAAGGTAGAGTACGTCAAAGACGATGTTATTTTTCAAAATAATATAATATAACACTGTGCTGAAACGGGGCTTTGATGATTTCTCACAGTAGATATGAACTGTAACTACATTGTAGCGGTTTGTCTGTTGAATATTATGTTTTATTTTCTACACTTGCAGGATCATTATAAAAATTGAAAATACAAGCAAAATCAATTTCCACATAAATAAATGTTGCTAATTCGCTTTCATAAAAATTCACCGCAATTCAATAATGTATAAAAAAAACTTTTCGGGTCAAATATATTTATGATAATTAACTGTGCGGATCCTCGCAGCTTTTTCACCGACAATATTTCACCTATACACTAATAGTTTTACTGGACTACTGATCTATTTTGTCCATATTAAAAAATAATTTACCAAGAATGTTACCGATTGTGTATAGGTGTTTTTTTTTTCTTCAATTCACTTAGTTCTCGCACATTGATCCATTGTACCTATATATATATACATATATAAAGGTGTAGTCGAACGGTGCGACGTTAATGAGATAATCCGATTTCATTGCTATACACATTATGTAGTAAGTAATGAAAAAAGAAAAAAAATACACCGTCCGAAGAGAGGTTTTATTTTTGTAGTTTTTGGCAAACTTTTTTTTCTATTTGTTTTTTGTTCCGATTCGGCGTTTTTTTTTTTTGTTGTTGCGAGAAACGACATGATCAGTTTACAAAAAAAAAAAAAAAAAATGCGCTAACAAACACACATACCTACCCAACACTCATGCCGCCGTTTTTTTACGGTTTTTATTTTTTGTTCGTACACGTTTATTGATCAATCGCCGGGTTGGCAAGGAGTTGAACGCATACGGTTGTGTATACAGTTATATAAATTGTTTAACCCGCAAACACATACAACGTGTACACGTTTCCTGTAGGATTCGCAGTATCAGGTAATCGGTTTTTTTTTTTACCACGACTATTATCGATAGGCGGCGACGTTTTTTTTATCGTTCCCCCGGCCGATACTATCCCCGGCACAAGACGTGTCACTGCAAACCGACCCCGGGTATTATAATGTTAACAGAAGGTCCATCTGCGCCGAATTTCTAAGACGTTTATCTATTTGTTGGGCCGTTAACGGGCGGAAGCGGAAGAGCGGGATGGGATGTGGGACGAGAGAGAGAGAGAGAGAGAGCCAGCAGAGAAGAGATAATATCAGTTTTGGCAAACAGAAGTTTTGTACTTTTACAACGGCGCCGGACCGTTGCCGATTTGGCGTTTACCAGACAACAAATGGCAAAGGCACACATAATCGTCCAAAGGGAAAATTGCCAAAAACCGACAACGGCACCGAAACAACCGCCGTAGTTTCGTTGTGTTCCATGTACATATAGAAAATATATATATATACAGATATATGTGTGTGTGTGTAATACTTCACGTTAGCCGTTAAACTGTCGAAGTCCTTTTGAGAAAATAACCAATTTACAAAAATTTATAGCATATTATTATATTGCTAAATCTGCTCTGGCGTCGCTGTTCGGATGTGTCTCGGATGTATATATCCACACATACACATATATATATATATATATATATTGAGTTCTACAAACGCTAATTATTTGATTTTTATACAGCCTAGTCAGTCCTGTCCTCGGACGTTTGTTTTGATTATATTTTATCGTTATGGTACAGTGGAAATTGTTTGGTTCCGTAACTTGGTATATTGTATACTGATAGTCATTCAAGTACTCTGTTCTTATCGAGAAGTAAATATATAAAGACAAAACCCACAAAAGTCGTTTGTTAAAAAAAAAAGTATATATCTATATATAAAACGTTAGTTTCAAACTTTGATCTTCAGTTTCTTTTTCCCGATTTGTTGTAACCGATAAATATATATATTTTTAAAGGGACTCTTAAGAAACCATCCATCTTTATATGGTGCCACCATTTTTTTTTATGCTTGCCAAAACACTCACTTTACTTTAGTCTGAACGACAGCGGTGATTTGACACGATTTATACCGTCTAAACTGCAGCAAGACGGCGTTGGGGTAACAAAAGAAACCCTAATACAGAGTTTATATATATTTCTTAAATGCTTTTTTTTCTCCTATAGTATAGTATTATATTCAATTTATAATATAATACTTACATGTTATGTATATTCATAAATATACATAACATTTATATAAATTCCAAACGACTACAACAAACACTAATTTAATTTTGTTTTTCATTATTATATTATTCATACAATACATAAATATATAATATTATATATTACATTCGTGTTAAAGATCAAACATCAGCAAACGTTTTAACACAATAATAATATAATATTGACATTGTATGTATATATTATAATACTTATGTATTTATCATACAAGTTTTTTTTTAAACAATTTTATATTTATTTTTATAAGAACCGTTAATAATAATATAATTATATAGTATTACCGTGACGGCGTGAAAAACAATTATATATATATTATATGTAAAATAAAATAGGTAACGCGATTGTTATATATTAATGAGTGTGTGTAAATTATGTACACGTGTAAGTGTATGTGAAGTAGTGTACTTTTCGTTATATTATTATCGTAGTAATTATAATAATAATAATAATATAATATAATACATGTAAATATTTTGTTATCAGCAAATTATATGCGTGATGAGGAGAGACAGTATGCGGCGGACCGAATTATCACGTTGGTCACCTGTCGTCGAAACTGGGCTCGTTGAGCGGTTCGCAGTCCGAGTACTGCATGATTCGCAAGCTGCGGTTGCTACACGCGTCCGGGCCGCCGTTGTACCGGGCCCGGGGCGACGCGTTGCTGCCCAGCTGCGACCCGTCCGAACCCTTGCGCCGGCCGTAGTCGGCCACGGCCAGTCCGGCCACGACGGTGGCGCCGGACTCACCGGCCACGGCCCAACAGCAACACCGGCATATAATCCGCTTGAACGCGAACCGGAAGTCTTTGCTGAACAGCGCGTAGATCATCGGATTGATGGCGCTGTTGCAGTACCCCAGCCAGAACATGACGGAGAACAGTGTGGGCTGTATGCACGTGGGACAGAACGCCCGGACCAGGTACATGGTGAAAAACGGCAGCCAGCACATAATGAACCCGCCGACGATGATGCCGAGCGTCTTGGCCGCCTTCGTCTCCATCCGGAACCGCTTCGCCTGCGCCTTGATGTTCCGCTTGCCGCCGCCCATCATTTTCGACGTGAATTTCGGTTTGCTGGGCACACCGCCGTTGCCCGGACTGCCGCCGCCGCCGCCCGTAGAGTCGTCGTACGACGGTGAGGGGGACAGCTGCTCTTTGACTAGTGACGACCGGTGTAGCCGCTGTTCCGCGGTGCTCAGTAGCCGCGAGTGCGAGGACACCGTGTCGCCAGTACTGCACCGCCGGTGTTCCTTTCGGCTGCCGCCGGCCACCCGAAGTTGACTGGACGTTTCCCGGGTGCTGCCGGCCCCCACGGTCGTGTTGGCCCGCTTGTGGTGATACGTGTCGTCCACCGCGGAGTAGTGGACGGCGTACAACGGACTGGAACTGGTCGGCGACGTTGTGGACGAGAACGAACTCCGGGACTTTTGACTAAGCGTTTCGGGCGGAGAATTGCCGTTGGCGTCCACGGCGGCGTTGTTGATGGCAGCGGCGGCCGCCGCCGCGCTTATGCAGTCCGAGCTCGGGTAGCTGACGCTGATCTGGATCCGCTCGTGGTTGCTGCGCCGCGTCGACGGCCGTCGACTCCTGACCACTTCCGACGACGGCGACCCGCCGTTCAGGGGCGTCGTGACGGCGGTGACCACGGCGGTCGCGGTGGCCGACGGCGACTGCTTCAACGACGACCCCCGTCCACGGTGTATGCGCAGCGTCAGCCGCTCGTCGTCGAACCGGTTACCGAACGCCCGGCGGCTGCGCATGGTCCGGAATCCCCGGTTAATGGAGCGGGTGGTGTTGACGGCCGCCTTGTAGATACGCCAGTAGAAGAACAGCATGACGAACATGGGTATGTAGAATGAGCCCAGCGCCGAGTACACCACGTAGCCCTTGTTGTTGGGCAGTTCGCATATCCACGGGCACGACGGCAACGTGTCGAACTCGGGGCTGTGCGAAACGTTTTGGTACAACGAATTCCGCACCAACACGGTGGACGCTTCCGTTCGGATCTGGGTGTCCCGCCAGCCGACCAGCGGCGGCAGGCAGATGACGAAACTGAGCACCCAGACGATCACCACCAGCACCTTCGCCCGAAATTTGGTCATCAGACTCGGGTACTGCACCGGACGGGTGACGGCCAAGTACCTGTCCAGCGAAATGGCGCAAAGGTTGAGAATGCTGGCCGTGCACATCCATACGTCCACGGCCAACCAAACGGAACACAAGTAATCGCCGAACAGCCACACCTGCAACAACAGTATAGCAATTTTATTACTCGAAAATAATATTATGTCCAATTGAATAAATTATTTAATTAATTTATTTTTCAAATTTTATTAATGTCGTTTGATTACGATTAATATTAATAATATCGTAGTCAGTAATTATTACGTTAGGTTATAATATTATATATTTTCAATATCTAACCTTTCTTAAATAAATTAGTCATATTTCTTTTTAACAAAGTCCATACTCTAATTGGTGTATATTGTTAGATGAGAGAGCGAGAAGATTGAAAAATGAATACGAGTTGAGAAACATAAGACCAGAATCAGCTGTTTGAATGTTCTTTTTTGTATAAGCTAATAAATACATAATTTAATCGATTGCCCAGAAGTTCTTGGTATAATTGCTCGGAGGATACCGAAGTTCCCGGACTTGTCTGGTTTATATTTATATTTTTATGGAAACTTGTAATAAGAAATACCAATTAAACTATCCAGCAGTACGCGTATCTCGAGTCAATGCAATAAAATATACTAAATTGACACTATATTAAAATATAATTTGTACATGATTAATTTTATGCTAAAATGTATTAACAATTATGACGACAAAACTATTGTTTTAAGTCCAACAAGCTTATTGCTCTTAAATAGCAAGTTTAATCGAGCGATAAGTCCAAAAGACGTATCTATTCTTAGAATTACCGATCTCGACCGAGATGACGAGAGATCATGATCGAACGATAAGAACTACTCGTCGGGCAACAAAATATCCTTATCCACTCAAAGTCCTTGATGTCCCTCGATGGTAAAATTAAATTGCACCGTTGGCGATGTTAATGTTGTGTTTAATGGAAAACAAAACACCAAAAGTCGTGTTAAGCAAAAGGCAGTTAATTTGTTTGTTTTTTTTTTATTTTGGCCAACACGCGATGGGTTGCCTTAACGGCAGTGTCGGCTTTTCCCTTCGCAAGCGTGCGAGGGTTTTGTTTCATTTGTTTTTTTTCCATCTATAATAATATAATATTTTGGTTATTCGTTCTGGCAATCCGACTTCCGAGTACCCGGCCTCAAAGGTGCTCGGTGCTGACTTTCAAAGGCTTTGAAGGTTTAACTTCGGGTTGATGTATCGAAACGATACACCGAAAACTATACAACAAAAAAAAAGAGAACGCCGTCGGTCGGTCGATTGAGCAACAAAAAAAAAAAACTTACCGAAATAACAGGATACTTGGCGACTTGCATGTGTCGGATAAAAGTTTTAGTGGGGGTTTTTTTTTTTTTTTACAATCCGAAAGCGGCGCCAGCACCGGCTTTTTTTTATTCTTGTCGTTTGACAGGTTTTTTTTTGTGTTCACTTAAATTTAGACTCTGCCCCGTCGCTCGCCGAATAATAAAATAATGTTTCATTCGATCGAACGGACAATAATAGAATATTGTAGGTGCTTTTATTCCCGGCACGCGCTTTGCCCCCGTCGGAACCGCTAGAGACAATATAACGCATTAATACAGTTGGGAAAAATAAAAAAAACACCGCAGATAGGTCGAGGAGGTCTCGGCAGCAGTGTTGGCGGGAACAACGCGAGAGTGATAAAAATATATTACCGCCAAAAGGGTTTTGTGCTGTGGTCAACAGTACAGGGTGATCAGTATCTCATGTACGAGACGCCCATTGTACATTTTTCACTATATTTCTCAACGCTTAGACAATTTTTACCTTCATCAAGAACTATGGACTTTGCTATTTTTCCATGGCAGCATATTATATGTTCTCTTAATTACATAAATATTCAGACAAACATTTTTAAACAATGTTAGCGTTCCAATGTTTAACATTCGTCAATTTCTTCGGTTTCTTTGGTTTTCCAGTAGCCCAGTAGCCTATAAGATTCATATATTTATGTTCTCATTATCCGATAGGTGAGAACACCTATCTTAACCAGACACAGTGACGGAAATTGTTGTGCTACTGTTATAAAAACCGAACGAATGTACATTAATTAAACCTTTACAAACTCAAAGCGAACAAAATATGTATACTCGATGCGTTTTCTAAGTAAAGCAAAAAAAAAAACACAATAATAGGATCTTGGGCCCGAATTTTTATAAAAACACAACCCCTATTGTCTGGCACATGGAGACTACATAGTAGGTATCCGCGGTTCTCGTGGGTCGTCTAGCGGGATGCGCCGGATATTATGTACACAAAACGACCGTTTAATTTACCCGCTGGTATAGGTTATACTCTGTTCTGCGTATTTTTTATACACACCCTACCGGCACGAATAATAATAACAGTGGGTCGAATACAGAACAACAACTATTATAGTGCGAGAGCCGCATGCATAAAACGGGTGTGGAAACAATAGTTAATATCATTGACAAAACATGGTCGGTTAACACATTTTATTTCAATTATTGAGTCTAATCAAGTTATCACCGGAATAGACAGACAAACTATACTTATACTTAAGCCGATTAAACCGTCGTCAGAACGGATCGGAAACTACTTAAGTATTATCATTACAAACCATATGGTGTATTGCGGATTACGGATTTGGAAACGTCGATTCGACAAAACTAAAATAATAATAATAATACAACGCTTATGTGATCCGGACGGACCTTTGTAACGACACCGGTACACCGAACCGCCATTATTATTATTATTATAAGAGAAACGCCAACAGTTTAAATATTGTTATAAAGCGGTTCAATAATAATTGAATTTAATTATTTAGTGTTGAGCTAGGCGTTTATAAGTTTGTAGATGTATAATATAAATTGTACACGACTGTTAACCCAACCTAACTTTGCTGAGTGGTTGTTAAGGCTTTGTTGGAACATTAGGTCAGGCCAGGGTCTACTCGGCTTTATCAACTTAGGAATTACACATCGTATTGTGGGTTTTGAGTTGAACCATGAAGATGTATGTCTAAGAAGCCAAGCCAAAGCCAAGGTGACCTCGCAGAGTCTGACGGCGCAAATGCATTTATTGATCATCCATGCGCAGGAAAGTTGAACTATAAATTTAAATCAGATTATTATTTTATTTTTTCTCTATAGACGAATCGTTCAATGGGATGTAAATCGAATTTTTTTTCACTCCGGCTAGGTTGAAATTTTTATAAAATTTCAAACCATCTCTGGTACCAGAGCATGTATTTTATTGGGACGGAAATTGTATTGCTCGCCAAAGCAGATGCAAAATGGCTTTATCTACATATATAGCGACGTTGAATTACACAACGGGTCGGCGGTCGCTTATATTGTAAGGTAAACTCTGTGAAAATCAATGACGTCTGGTCGTCCGGATACAAAAAGTTTTTGTCGCCGTTAGAAAACTTTATGGAAAATCGCACATTTCATACCGAGTCCGTATGCGACGATACGGCTAAAAATCTTTTTCCAAACTTTTGATTGTACAAAAAAAAAAAACCCCAATTTTAGTTTATCCCAGCTAACTGGAAACGGTACGAGCAACCCTTAGCTTAGGATTTCCTGTTGGATCTTGTAGAATTTTTTTAAAATTAAATTAACAACGTGCAAACAAATCATAACAAATATAGAAAATCGCTTAATAATGAGGAGTTTTTTTTATTTTTCGCGGCCATACTGGAATAATTAGTCCCTCTGTTTACTTCACTAACGCATACAAGCTAGTACATGTTAGTCCATCTCTTTATGATAGAACTCTAAGATGCAAACCCAACACCGATTAGACTGATCATTTTAACGTATGTATGTATACCCTACGATGGTCGGACCGAGGTTGGCGGTGAAAATCAAATTATTAAAAGTGTGCAACGGCGTTAATACAATATGTCTCTGTATTGCAATAGGACACCGTGTATTCAATACCGAACAATTGACTATTATAATTGCGACGGCCGGAAAACACAATAGGAAAATAATAATGGTACAGCGTTTCCCGGCGTGGAAAAACAAACGCGAAAACCGAGCTGAGAAGACATCCCAAACGTCAGTGCAACGTACATGTACAGTTGTAATGTGTATATTATTAGTGTGTATAATACAATATGTACATATTACACTTGGGCCGAATCCGCCCCGTGAATCGAATGCGAACGGTATATTATAATGTGTGTATGTGTGTATTGTAGCTGTTGCAATCGGGAAATGTCATTGAGCGCAGTCTGGGTCATCAGGTCAACGTGCTGTGCCCCGGAGTGAATATTATATCGAACCGACTCGGGGGGGGGGGGGGGTTAGTATGTATATTTTGTAAAAAAAAAAAAAAACCTCTGGTCGGAGGTAAAAAATTAACAAGAAATAATAAACAATAGCGCGTACTAGACACGGTCGGCGTGGACAACGGGACGTTGACAAAATATAATAAATCTCTCGGATATTACATAAAAAATTTAAAAAACATTACTTTGCAATATAAACCGTACGATGAAATCCTAGTCGAATCCTTCTTTTCCACAAATCTCTCTGCGTGTTTTTATTCTTAGTAATAACATCCTATCACGCCTCCCCCCCCCCATTCTGTCAAAAGGGGTTGTAAAATTCGTATCCATAACTTGCATGCGACCAATACAGTGCCGAGGCAGCAGCGCGGTAACGTTGTATTCCATTCTAATAATTTTCCGAAATAATATTATTTTTTCTGCGCTATAACGGATTAGGACCGTCACGACCTATGTCGGGCCTTATAATTTGCCGTAGACGTTTAAGACTTAATAATTGAATTGCCCGGCTTATCATCCGAAACGATTAACGCGGCTCGCACAGCATAATAATTGGGGTACGGCGCAATTTGTACCTGGAACGGTCCGCGGTGACTGCACTTGCCACTGGCCGCACGCTCAATTAGTCGTTTAATTAAGTGCCGCCCGTTTTTTTTAAATTTTATTTCAAAGTGATATTATAATAATAAGGCCGAAAACAAACGGCCGCCTAAAATCACACGGATTTTATTGTACTAAAAATACTTTTGTGTTGTGTAGGTATAGTATAATAATTATTTTTAAATACTATTCACTTTATCAGATTTT